AAAAAATTTATTTCAGGTGTGTTGTTGATTTGTTCACTCGGACAACAGCGAACCTGACGTGAAATAATAACACCATCTACAAAGTGCGGTCTGTTTTTTTTTCCTCTTTTTTTTAAATCACCAACTGTCATTTTCTCATGGGAAAAACCGGGCTGTTGATTGGAGGTGTGGCATTTGTTCATGTGGTCAATGACAAAACTAGTGTAGGTGTGAGTGAGTGTGTGTGTGTGTGTGTGTGTGTGTGCGTGTGTGTGTGTGTGTGTGTGTGTGTGTGTGTGTGTGTGTGTGTGTTTTGTCCTCCCTACTGAACACATCATTGGCAATCAATGGGCTAATGTCTCCGATAACGCGCGCATACACACACACACACACACACACACACACACACACACACACACACTTGTACCTCATATAGCTTACATTGTTCCCTCGTCAGTAGGACGGCGTGCAACTACTCATGTACTACATCTTTAGTGGAAGGCGTGGGAACAGCACAGCGACTCACAATATGATGATATTGTGGTATTTTTGCGATGATATCACCAGTATCACGATACCTGCTTCAATTTTGACAATTGACATATCGGGAGGTAACCGTACACTTTGGAGAGTCGATACCACTTTTTTTTTAGAATAATACCAGTCCGAGTATTTACCTTTGAGGATTCACTGATACTGAGTCCTGATACGGTTCATACTCCTGATACTTGGTATTTCGAATAACACAGCGACGGATACATTTGAACAAAGAGCGATCCTTCTTTCTGACGGCTGCGATGATTTGCCAATGTGTCAGACCGCTGCAGTGTAGCGCAGCGAGTATCGGTGGCTGGTATTGGCAGTCTACTTGATACCCGATACCCTGAAATGAGGCCTGTATTGGCGATACTTGGTCTTGGTACTTGCTCATCCCAACCATGTCTGACGCATCACAATATCTTGACTTGAGCGAGAAAGAGAAGCCATATTGAAATTTGATGCGGGTGGATTAATACCACATTGATAATGATATCACCGTATCGCTAGTTTGTCCCAGTCCTGATGATGACAGCGGTGTCGTGTGTTTATATCTCATTACCGACAACAGTGAGTGTGTCTGGGTAGATATACGCACACACGCCCGCGCAAACACACACACACACACACACACACATACAGGTCACGCCCATTGGCTGCGGGATGACGGCACAGGCGGCCTGTCAGCACCTTCCCGCCAAGCGTTAAAGAGGGCACGTGGAGGTGCCAGCAGAACACACGCACACACGCACACGCACACACACACACACACACACACACACACACACACACACACACACACTACACTGCCACATGAAGCAACAACAAGCATCAGGTGACATCACTGTGACGGCACATTCATGTGCTTACCTGGCTTCGTTTGAGGCCAAATGCGCCGTAGAATGCATCCATTTTGAGGTGTTTGTTTGCAGTCCGGTGTTTTTAGGTTCGAGTAGATGACAAACTTGGTGTTTATATTTCATACCTGTATTTTTGTAGCTTTTTTTGGTTGGGTTTTTTTTTTCCATCTCACGAGGGTTTTATTTGTGGTGCGGAATTCACCTGTGGGGGACGAACTGTACGTTTACATTCCAACATGTCTTTATTGAGTCATTACCTGTTCTGTTTTATGTTTTGCGTCACACCTCTATTTCATGGTTTCGTCACACCTCTATTTCGTCATGTGTTTCGGATTTTTTTTCCCGGGAAAAATAAACAATGGGTTTATTTGAGGTGCAGTGTTTGCATGTTCCAGTCAATGGCGAATCTCATGTTTGTATTTTGGCATTTCTGTAAATTTGTAGTTGTAACCTTTTTTTTTCCATGTCACAAAAAAAATTTGTGGTTTAATTTCGGGTGCCTCATCTATTTTTTTCCACTTGCAAGACTACCTCTACATTAAATTTCAGCATGCGTGTATTAAAAAAATAAAATTAACCTTCAGCATTTTTTTCTTTCATGCAAATAACAACACCGGCATTTCAGGAATCTTCCCAAGAACCAATCTTGGTACAGTGCAGTTGTCTTATGAAATCCTCCACGAATCTTGTTCAAAATGCCCATGGGCTGTCATCCCCTAAAAACCAGGAAGTAGCATCCTCTCCTTGAAACGTTGAAAAGTTTTTAGCTATTCTGATTGTTTCCTCCCTCCCCTCATGATTCAAAATGGTACAGTCCAGTCTCTAAATCCTCATCAATCAGGAAGTAGCTTGCTAACCAATCAGCGTCATTAGGTTGAAAATGGTACGGTCTGGTCTGTCATTATTCATAAATCAGGAAGTAGACTACTGACAAATGTGTTTTTTTAGGGAGGGGGGGGGCGGGTTCAGCTTTTTGTAAAATCATCGCGGCATCAAACGTGGTACAGTCATCGTATGTCGTCTTCCCGGATTTTCCTATTCCTGTAAATGGTCCCCAGCTATTTCTGAATGCCAATGGTAGATTCGAGCTGGTCTATTTGCCGCCGCATTAAAAAGCTGCTAAAAAAGAAAAAAAAAAGTATGCTTCAAATACATTGTGGTGTGTCTGCACAGCTTCAAAAGAGTTTAACCTTGTGAGGTTCACTGGCGTCAGATGTCCTCAGTAAGAAAAATGATGAACACACACGCACGCACACACACATGCTCCCATCTCATTCCCAGAAACATATCTGCTGTCACACACTCGGCGGCGGCGTGATGGAGATTAATAGCGGCACTTAGAGCCCGCTGAGCTCCACCTGTCACGGCCCGCCAGCCCTCCGGGCGCCTTTGGAACCAGACCGCGGCCCGGCGACGGATCCATCATGGACAAATCCGTCATGGGGAGCTCCGTCAGACTCCCGACAGCCCGATCGCCGACGCGGGACGGGCCGCAATGTCAATGACGAACACCTGTGAGTGAATTTTAACGTGTGAAGCTGAGCTCCTGCGGTTGTCTCTGGGGCTTACACGAACAGAGGTGGCGGTGCACCCGTGCAGGTCGACATTCGCAAATTTGCCTGTTTGCTAATTATTTTTGTCGTTAACTCATCCTGGAAAAACTCAACTCTGTGATGTTTTATTTACTTATTTATTCATTGGCTCAGGCCATAGCCTTGTCTAATACAAAAAAGTGCTTTGCTGACATCTTGTGGCATCTCTAGGTAATTGCAAAGTTTTTGGATAGGTACTCATGACTCAATCGAATATTTACAAGCCTTAGGTGCGTTGAGGATGAAATTGTCTTTGATGTTTACTTAAGCGTGTATGTGAGGTGGATTGAAGACTATTTTGTCTTTGATTTTTACATAAAAAAGGAGCACTAGTGAGTACATTGTCCATTATATTTACAAGTCCTAGGTGTGTGGAGGACTAAATTGTCTTGGTTGTGTACAAAATTCTAGAGGACTAAATGGTATTTCAGGTTTACAAAAATGTGAATGTTAAGTTTCTGTCAGATACGATGTTGTCTTTTATGTTCGAAAACGTGTATGTCCTGAAGACTACGCTGTCTTTGATGATTACGAAGAATGTCAAAAGTATTTGGACAACTGTCTTTAATGTTTGTCGAACATTTACGTGTTTTGAAGACTAAATTGTTGTTGATCTTCGAAAAATGAAAAGAAACAGTCGAGGAATGTTTTTCATGTTTAGAAAAGATTCAAAGAGGCTGAATGTGCCATTTTTAAGAGTCTTGCGCATGACTAGCGTGCCGCATTTGAAGAAAATGAAAGGAGCCGCTTTCAATGGCCATGATTGAAGTCGCCTGTGACCACTCCCACAGTGGCGCCGCCTTCACTCCTGCAGATCCCCCAGCCTGCTTTTGTCTGCCAAATTGCCTACTTCGGGCCAAACGCACTTCACACACCTGTCACCAAAAGGGGGCCCAGTTTCTTTAACGTTTACAAACCTATACAGGTGTGGTATTGAAGATTATAAATTTGCTTTTGATGTTTCCAAAAACGTGTCTGTCAGCCACTCTGAGGACTTTAAAGTTGGTCAGGAATTTTGCCTGCGTGTTAAAAGATAGCGCAGCCTGCCTGGAGGACGCTGCGCAGGGGGGTCCTCTCGTTTCTCTCTCTTCCTCAAAGAGCTCACCCCGGTTCTTCCCTCTTATCCCTCCGCAGAGTTCCTGGCGAGGATGTCACTTTTAAAACATTCCAGAAACATGCGCGGGGAGACAACATGCAGGGCAGAAAAAGCTGTGCCAGCAGGTTTCCTGTCCTTTTCATCACATGACCTCACATAGCCAATCAGAAGACGGACGACGTTGTGACAGCGGCTAACTGTTGACTGGCGGGAGTGGAAATTAAAGCCAAATCACGTAAAAATAACAATTCACGTCTTTGTTTGGATTTACATTAGAGCTACCCTCAATGGACACATCATTAGGTACACAATGTAATGACATCCAATGCAAAAACTTGAACATTAGCTGAACTGAAGTCCCAGTTGGCTTTGATATTTCTATCAGACGTGCGCAGACGGCAAGCATATCATTCAGACCCAATAAATCTTCTAAACTGTCTTTGATGTTTTCATATATGTCAGGCTCCCGGCGAGTCAGAATTTTGTTTCAGGTTTACGCAAAACGTGTTTGTTGTGTGCAACCAAGACCCTCAATCGTCTCGGCTGAGGAGCAAATTGTCTTCGATGCTCACTAAAAGTCATGCCGGGCACATCAAAAACCCCAGATTCTATAGTTAGGCCTGTGGAAGCTCCTCAACTGTGTTTGATGTTGAGAAAAACCTGTAGATTGGACACATCAAATCCCATCAAGTGTCTTTGATGTTATGCAAACTGCGTCCATGGAAGCCCTTCAATTGTTTTTGACCTTTACACGAATTCATGTTGGGCACATCACAAACCCCGAAGCGTCTTTGATGTGGCCCAAATTTGGACGTTGTTGCCCACAAACATCCGTCGTCAATCTTACCGAAGCTTTTGATGTTTTCAACTTAGGGTACGTCGGCCCCGCGACCGGGGCCTCGGGTGGAAGGAGCGCTGCGTTTTGGTTTGTCTCACCTTCCAGGCAGCAGGTCCTCCAGAGGCCCGAGTGCGTCATCACCTCCTCGTTCTTCTTGCTGGTCTCGTTCTCGTTGTTACTCTTGATCTTGCAGACGCCGCGCGAGTACAGCCAGTAGTCCGTTCCCACGGCGATGGTCATGAGGCTGAAGGCGGCGAAGGCCCCCACCGTGGTCAGCAGCATCTGAACCCCGCGGTCAAACACGCCCATGTTGCCGCATTCCACAAAGGGGGGGCCCCCTTTCCTCTTCACGTACAGGAAGTAAATATTTGTGAGTTTGCGTCGCCACGCCAGCTCGGAAAAGGGGGGGTGGGCGGCGGCAGCGGGCGGGCGGCGGTAGCGGGGGGCCG